AAGTGTTTTCTTTCAACGGAACAGATATTTTTCATTTTTCCATGATTAATAAAAAAAATTAAAATAATTAAACAAATTGTTTGATTTAATGGAAAAATTCTTAATAAAGTATCACACACCCTCCCCCCCAAACCTTAGCTGTTTCGGCGGGGCGGTGCTGGGGAAGGAGGGTTTGTTTCCGCGGGGCTGGGTGGCGCTGGGGGTGGTGTTTCCGCGGGGCCGGGGGGTTTCGGCCCTCAGCTGTTTTCTTTGGAGTAATATGGCCCTCGCCGCTTTACGAGTTGTGCAGGCCTGGTATAAGGTTTCACTTTATTATGATTATTTATCATCAATTTTAAACTGACCTGTTTAGTACTGCTTAGGCAGTATGATCATTTTCTATCAGTGCTGAGGTGGGTTCCTAGCATCAAAACCCATTGTTCCTAGTCTGTGCATCACAAATGCCATCTGAATTAACTAGTGTTCTGGTAGAGTGCCATTTTTAACTGCAGCTGGAGATACACGTAGATTAGTTATGTGTCCATTTCTGTTTAACAATTAATTAACTAGGATCTTTCTATTTTTGGATATCAGGGCCAGATCCTCAGCTGATGTAAACTGGCCTATCTCCGCAGACTCCATGGGCTGAGAATCTGGCCATCGGTCTTAAAAATATATTATATTGATATTCTGGACTTAAAAAGTTCATTATATTTTAAATTTGACAGAAATTATATATTCACTAGTTCTTTGAGATTTTTAAACCTTGATTAAATCACTGAATCATACAAGCTGCAAAAGAATGGATTGTTTGACAGATGACTTACTCTGTATGACTGGAAACAATTCTGGAAAAAATGAAGCACTATTCTTTATAATCAACAGTGTACGGAACAAGAAAGTCATCTTTCATCAAAAAGCAAACAAAAAACCCCCATTCAGAAACACTACTGTGACTTAGAGAACTTATAAGCAGCATTAACGTTATTACTCACAAAAAATGACTAACCAACAAACGTTCGAAAGAACCAATAAAGAATTGAAATTTTATTATATAAATGTCCATAAACATATTTTAAGGAAGGACACACTATTTTATTTCTGATTAGCAATGACTGGATGGTCCTAGATGAGGGCATGGGTATTGTATCACATTTTTTCTATATCATTATAAAGTAAAATCACTTTGTGTTTCAAATGTCTGTGGTTTTATTATACCATCCCAACAAATAATATGAATACAATTTTTAATTACAGCACTGGAAACACCAAGTGTGACCAACTTTACTTGCTTTCATGTATTTTATTCCTTTTACTTAACCTACTATAAATTAACCTCCAGAGTTTTTACAAATGCTTGGAAGTAAGTAAGGTGCCTTCAATAGCATGTGATGGTTATACCCCTGGAAATCAGTCTGGTGTCCTCCTTGAAGAGTGATTCTTGCAGTGTAGCTCTCATTAGTTCCTCAATCATTTTGGGATCCAGTTCAAAATTACCTTATTGTTTTTCAAAACCCTCCACAAACTTGCTGCAATTGATTCCCACAGGCTTTGGGCCAAATTCCCCTTTGGAGTAAGCAGACTCAAATGAATTGACCTAATTTCTAAGAGAATGATTTGCAAATCTTTTTCTGCCCAACTTCTTCCTCTGCATTCAGATTTGGAATTTAAAGTGTCTGAAAGTATGTCGACACTTAAAACGCTACTGTGGCTCAGCTTCAGTGTAGACACTCACTACAGCAACAAGAGGAGTTCTCCTGTTGCTGCAGTTAATCCACCTCCCCAAGAGCTGGTAGCTAGCTGGATGTAAGAATTTTTCTATCGACCTACCACTGTCTATGTCGGGGGTTAGGTCGGTTTTACTACGTCACTCCAGGTGTGGATTTTTCATTCACAAGCAACGTAGCTGGGTTGACTTAACTTTTTAATATAGGTCTGGCCTCAGACATCTCCTCTTGAATATCCTGCTGCTAGCTCAGAGTAAATATGTCAAAAACTGAAGTATATATCTCTTTTCCAAAACCCTTATCCTTTATTCTCCATAACTATCTAGTTAGTTGGGAATTGGTCCTGCTTTGAGCAGGGGGTTGGACTAGATGACCTCTTGAGGTCCCTTCCAACCCTGATATTCTATGAGTCTATGATTCTATGATCAACAATGTTACCATTCTCCCTACCCCTCTAGCTCACAACCTAGTATAACTGTTTTAAACTTTATCCTTCTCCCCCAACATTGTCACTATCACTAATTTATGCTGGCTTATTCTACAAAACAGGTCAGAAACCCGATCATTCTTCACCTCTCCTATCACCAACACTTGTCCATGTTTTGATCATCTTGTGTCTTCTTGACATCTGTACCCACATCCTCTCTGTTTTCTGTTTCATACTCCTCCAATCCATCCGAAACTCAGCTGAATAACGTATCTACCTCACCTATAGCTTTGACCACATTCAGCCCATCTGCAAATTCCTTCACTTGTTTCCTCTCACCTTCTGCATCAAATGCAAGTTCTTTGTCCTTTCCTTTAAAACCTGCCACAACTTAGTCCTATGTCTAGCCCTAGAGGCTGATCTCATGCTCTAGACTAGAGCACATGGGCTTATGTGACAATCACCATCACAGAGCATACAGGACTCACAGCAGAATCAAGCCAGTGGTCCAACAGCGGCCAGACAATATGAAACCTAAAGAGAAAACAAAAGTGAATTATAAACTGATGCACTGAGAATTCCTCTTAACCTGTGTAATAGGTACATTAACTATGCATTGCCATAACAGAATGTTTCGTAGATTGAATTTTGTCAATAATCACCTACTGCCATCTACTGTTATATAATATCCACATTAATTATATTTATAAAATATAAATTGTAAGTTACCTTTTAATGTTTTAAATAGGCCTGTATAAAAACACAAAGGGTGACATTCACCTGGTTCAGAAGACAAGATGATAAACGTACAGCTTTCAGTATTGTCAGGAAAACATCCCAGATTTCCCATGAAATGCTGTCCTGGTATTGTCTAAAAAAGAATGGTAATACTTTTTATTTTCTAATCTAACTTTGAGTAATGAATGTGAGTAGATTCAGTTAGACATTATTTTATATTCACTACTTTGTGCTTTTATATGATCCATTCCTAATTTTATGCACCTGTTGGTTTGTTTGTGTGCAGAGAGAAACTCAATCAGCAACATCCATTAACATCTTTTTTTTGTAAAGATATTTCTGTGGGGAAGGGCGTGGGCTTTTTCAGGTTCACCAGAGACCTATAAGACCCTATAAGAAACTTGGAGCAGTCCATTTGTCCAGAATCATCAAAAAGGTTGTTTAAATATATAGCATGCTAGAAAAATTACTAGTTACACCTCTACCTCGATATAACGCTGACCTTGGGAGCCAAAAAATCTTACCGTGTTATAGTGAAACAGCGTTATATCGAACTTGCTTTGATCCTCTGGAGTGCGCAACCCTCCCTCCCCCCCCCCCGGAGCACTGCTTTACCGCATTATATCAGAATTCCTGTTATATTGGGTCACGTTATATCAGGGTAGAGGTGTATAACTAGGGGACTGGATGCTTGGTGGCTTATTTAGTCCAAGCTTATTGCACACACCAGGAGCTCCTTCCATTCCTCCATAAAGTTTGCAGATTACACAAAAATTGGGAGAAGCGTTAAAAAATGAAAAGGTTATATCACTGATTCAGAGCAGTGTGGATGGCTTGGTAAACTGGGTGCAAGCGAACAATATGCATTTTAATATGGCTAAATGTGAATCTAGATATATAGGAACTAAGAATATAGGCCATAATTACAGAATGGGGGACTCTCCCAGCGCTGTAAAAAACCCACCCCAACGAGGGGAGTAGCTACCAGCTACCCCCTCCTCCAGTTTTTTCACACACACCCCCGGAATGAGAAAGTTTCAGCCCTGTAAAGTGGCAGTGTAGACAAGGCCTAAGCATTGCTCTCCGCCAGGCACTAGGAAAGCAAAGATGCTGTGCCATCTGGGTTTGATGGAAAAGAGGCATAGAACTGTTTGTACCATGTGCATCTTGATAGGACTACAGCCCAAATTGTTTTATTATTTTCCTCAGCATGACATACAGGAGGGGCAATCAAAATCAGCCTGGCAGAATGTGCATGAGAACGGTCTCTGGACAGATAAGCAATTGATCAAAATCACATTCTCTGATCTCCTGGGGCCAAATCCTGTTCCCATTGAAATAAAAAAAAGTTTTGCTATTCAGTTCAATGGGAACAGGCTTTGACATTTGGAGAGGAAAGAACAAAACCACTCAAGCAAGGGCTATGTTGCTTCAGGTATCAAAGGCTGCTGATTCATGTGAGAAAGTCAGCAAACATCTGATCTTTGTCCACTGCAAGGAAGAAATCAGCAATGAGGCTAAAACAGTCTCTGTTCTATATATCCAACTCATAAGTTCACCTGCAGAGGATCAAGGAAATACGAAGGTTCCAGATTACCTTAAAGTTTTCAGTCCCTTGGTTAGAATGCTCATAGTCGAGGCTGGAGCAGAAATCAAAAACACTGTTTAAACACCTTCCATCCCACTCACCCCTCCCCTCTTGAGGACTTCTGACCAACTTAACAGCACACTACAAATGCTAACAAACTAAGGGCAGGTCTTCAGTACGGGGGGGGGGAGGGTCGATTTAGGATACTCAAATTCGAATTTGACCTGTCAGAGCCGACTTACCCCACTGTGAGGACGGCGGCAAAATCAACCTCCACGGCTCCCCGTCGATGGCACTTACTCCCACCTCCGCTGGTGGAGTAAGAGCGTCGATTCGGGGATCGATTGTCGCGTCCCGACGAGACATGATAATTCGATCCCCGAGAGATTGATTTCTACCCGCCGATTCAGGGGGGTAGTGTAAACCTAGCCTTAAACAAAGGCTTTAAGTTTGTTAGCATATGTATCGTGCAGTTAAACCCATATAAAGAATGAATGCCCTCCCTAGCGTAGTTCTTCTCCTTTAAAGAACAGAGTGCAGCTCTACCCCCCTCCCCCCCATGTCTTTCCAGTATCCCGTACCCGCTAAAAATCTCTTGCTGGTACTGCATATTGGAGCTAGGGTGACCAGATGTCCCGATTTTATAGGGACAGTCCTGATTTTTGGGTCTTTTTCTTATATAGGCTCCTATTACCCCCCACCCCGTCCTGATTTTACACATTTGCTGTCTGGTCACCCTAACTGGAGCATACCACCCTACTTGCATTCCAGGTTATAGCCCACAAAAGCTTATGTCCAAATAAGTTTGTTAGTCTCTAAGGTGCCACAAGGCCTCCTCCCTGTTTTTATATGGGAAAGGCTCGCGCCAGAGAACACCCGCACAACCGCAGCAGGAGGCGGGGCTACGATGCGCTCGCGCAGATTCCCGAGCGCT